AAACTCCTCCCTAACTAGGCTACAGGCTGGATTTATATATATATACATATATATATATATATATATATATGTATGTATATTAAAAAAATGCACGTGTGCACAACCTTCCCTTACCATTTTGTGTCAGAGGGAGATCTCCAGACAAAGAACATCACTTTGCTGCTACTTTATAGAGGAAAGATTTCAAAAGCTACCGACCTCGCAGCTGGAAGTGAGACTAAACACCACCTGGGATATCGCTGAGGCAATGTAACATCAAACAAGTTTCCTACAAACTATGTTTTCTGAGAAGAGCCCTGGTGGAAACAAAATGTTAGATGTTAACAAAAGAAAAGACCATTCACAGGGACCTTCATTTCTAGAGCTTATCTGCTGGTCTGACACATGAGCTGTACAACCACTCGGTATAAAGCCAAATGGTAGTGACTTGTTCCTGATGACAGGAATGCAAGCGAACCCTAGTAACTCCCTAATTAATTCACCTTGTTAAGAGTTGAACAGGGTGGCAGTTATATCGTAAAGAACAGGCTGGTGGAAGCTACTCAAAGAAATACGTTTTATTTCCCAGATGGTCAGGGGTCACGACACTCAAGAAGTCAGAGCTGCCTTTAAGGAAAGAACTGTGGATTAGGAACAGCTGCAGAAACACAGAACAAAGTCCAGACAAGGCAAAAGAAAACCCACTCACTGCACAAGGAGTAGGCTCACCAGCCCCAGGGCTACCACGCAGGACGCTGCAGGGAGGTCACTGCAGAAGAACCCCCTGCCAGCAGCCTTCAGCAACTGCCCGAGCAGCACCCTGCGCCCAGTCAAATCCCAAAGGCACTCTCCAGCCTTTGCTTCCATCACCTTCAGTGACAGTCAAATCCAAACCTACGGCTCCTTCAACCTACAAACACTCCATCAGAGCTGAAGAGCATCATGCTCTTCAGTCTGCTGGTGGCCTAGAGCATCAAGGGCTTTGCTTCTCCAAAAGCTCACTGCAGTATAACCGTGTCTCCTTGTTCCCCAGATAGGTTCCTCATTCAGAGATCAAGGGAAACTACCACCACACCAACCCCAAATGTTGATCTTCAGATTTCACCATTAGTAAAACATCAGGGTGTCTAAACATAAAAAAATGGAAAAGTGTGGGCAGCTCATGGGAAGCCAGCAGTTGGAAAGTGGAATAATTTAATCTGCTTGACACCGCCCAGGAAGATAAGCTTCTTACTCCTACCCTCCTAAATACTGTCACCACTCCCTCCTGAGCAAGGAGCCAGCTAAAGCCATCAATACATTCATCACTCCAAGATGGATTTGTGTAACTCAGTGCAACAGAAATGACAAAAAAACGAAGATACCAAATCATACAAATTCTAGATTTGCTTATTTGATAGCCTGATCAGATATTTTTTAAAGCCTACCATTTCCCACTAAACTTCTGATATGAAATGAAGGCATTGATACATATTGTCAAACTAATTAATAGCTTCAGTCATAGACCAAAAAATAAAACCAATTAATTTTAAGCCCTCAGCAGCAGCACACATCAGCCACAATGACACAGAAATCTTGTGGCACAATGCACACCCTCGTGGGTCTCCCCACAAATTCATGAACAAAACATTTTAGTGAATGAGATTCAGCAGTAGCATAAGCCTCTGAAGGAAGAAAAAAAGGCAAACCCAGGATCTGTCCACATTAAGGAAACACTACAAACATGATGGAGAAGTGGGGGAAGGATTTTCACTCATCAAAAATGCACATACCACCAACACTGCCTTCTAACCTTCAAACCCACTTGGACTTCTCATTATAGACCCTCACACCAGAATATAAGTGAAAAACCTTACTTGAGTGTTTCTAGCTTGAAAATAAGGAGTGCTAGAAATGGAAAGCTTTCCAAGGACTTCATCTCTTGTCTTAAATCAAAGCGTTTTGTTACTGTAGAGCAGCAGATGAACAGGAGAGGCAGTAGGACAACTCAGCAGCTGTTGAGATCTTCTCAGGTGAAGTGAGACATTCAAAGCAGGCAATCGAGACCTGCACAATTCCCAATATTTTAGCAATACAACAGGAAGGGCGGGACGGAAGCAGCCCAGTGAATAGAGGAATTAATAACATATGGCTTCCTACATACAAACCTCCCGAGTTATGGAAGGGAAGTCCTGCATCTTCTGATCTCCTTGACAGGGATACCTCACACCTGACTGCAGAAGCCAAAACCCACAGGAGGTGAAGATGAGTGTTTGAATCCTGGTTCCCTCTGGCTGACTTTTTTCGTAACGCTAACAAGAACTGTCATTACCACAGAGAGCTTCCTTCTTCTATCCAGCCAAGCAGAAAGAGAGGAAAATGTTCAGAAACTATGCGGGGCACGACAGGGCACAGACCAAATTCTTGGTTGAGTTACTTCCTAAGATGCATTCCAGAACCAGAAGCACAACTGCCTCATGTTTGCAAAGAGTAAACTAATGGCTACGGTTTCCTGAGTCACGCTGAAAATTTCCATGAGCCTCCTGTCACACTGTCATAAAGAGGCTTTAGCACACAAAGTAAATTGAATGATACCGGATGGAACAGCCTCCCTCTGGATGAGCAAACGGACAGCAACAACCTTCTTGGATGTCTCACTGCTCTGAAGACTCGGTGGGTGGATTTGGGAAATGGTTTCATTCACAGTTCCTACTCCAAAAGCAGAACAAACCTCAGAGAACTTCAAATTCATGGACAAGTTGAGCGCATGCTCAGATTTCCTTTCACCATGGTCTAATAACCCTGTATTTTGCTGTAAATTACTTGCATGAATACAATAATATTATTTTTATCTGAAAAACAAACAAACAAACAAACAACTTTAAAGGAGATAAAATTTGTATTTCATAAAAAGTCAGAGTCACATCTAAGCTCATCCAACAGCTTCTACTACCAGCTGCCTGCTCAGATGTGAGGAAATTTTCTTAAGAAAAAGTTTTTCAGTGCACCCAATATAGTTTAATTTCAGGTCTCCTCACATAAACTAAGGCAAAGAAAAGGGTTCCTATAAAAAGCTATCAGCCTGTGATTAAACATTCCAGATTTTACACAGATGACAACAGGAGAGACTTAAATCAATACTAACAATAGCATTAATCATTTCCAGATCAACCTGGGCTACTTCTGCAAGAAGTTGTTTGAGCATTTTAACTCAATTGCTCTTTGCAAAGCAAAAGACAGAAGAAAAAAGTTAATTTTCAGTTGATTAAAAACAGCAACGGACTTTTATTGTTATTACTTTTTTATTGTTATTACTTTTTTGTTATTACTTTTTTATTGTTATAGGCGTATAAAGAAATCCAGATGAGTGCTGCTAATTTTTGAAACGTGGTGAGAACAGTAGGGAAAAAGGTACAAACCTGGACAAAAAAATTGACAGCACTGACACAGCCTGGGGGAAGATGCGGGTTGTTTTCCTGGAATAGCTGGTTTTGCTGAGAAAAAGGCAGTCCTATAATTTAAAGTGCAGTATATATGGTGGTAAAGTACTGCTAGAGTAAGCAGAGCTTACTTTGGAAAACACCTATGAGAAAAGGACCTTTAGGAAGTTTTTGGATGCATTCATGCTTGAACTCCTACCCCTTACTTCAGCTGTAAGCATGCAGTTTCCTCCTCTCAGTCTTCCTCTATCCAAAAACCCTACGTGCTGAAGGTAAGTCAATGTGAGCAACAACAGAAATAAAATTTGAGAGATAAATTTGAGAAATAAAATTTTGAGAGTTAAAAATCTGTGTAAGCCAAGTACTTTTTATCCAGACAAAGGTCTCTGCTCCAGAACGGAGCACAAAATCACATCAGTACACTGAGCAGATGCGGCTTTGTTTTCTCCAGTAACACTCAGCTTATCACCTAGCCAGATCGGGTTACTTCATATTTTAATTTATGTTGTAGAAGGATAGGGCTGTTGGACAGATTTGCTTTTTAAGAGCGTTTCAATCTCCCAGGAACATTAAGTACACAAACTCTGTAAAGCTTCATTAACCAAGTGACCAAGTAGTAATGGTCCCGCGATTTAAAGCACATTGCCTAACACGGCCATATCCTCCCCCAGACTCACTGGCTGAAGAGAAATCATTTCCCCCCAACTCATGGGAAAACAAAGCCAGGCTGTTCCCAGCCCTTTCAGGGACATGCCAATGAGCTTTGGAAACAAGATGAACTTCACTAGTAAAGCTGTAAGCATGAAGATGAGATGCAAAAGAGGAAAATCAGGATGCTGTTTAATTGCATTCATATATTACATTGTCACACCAAAAATAACATGTTTTTTTTTTTCTGATTTTTTTTTAACAGTTCTTCTCAAGAGTCAACTGTTTCCCTCTAGACAGAGCACTCAAATATTTCAAGGTCTGTCCCTCTGACATAAATATCTTTAGTGCTGAAAAAAGGTGGATTTACTCATGTATTTGCTAAGCAAAGTTTCCCTAAATATTTGCATCTCCATAGCAAACAAACTTGAAGCTGTGCTGATCCTATCTGCATTGAACAGTCTATACCTAGGGTTTAAAGGAGCACCAGAGTGTGTGTGGGGGGGAAATAAAAGTAGAAAAAAACCACCAACACCACTAATTTCTAGTTATGAGACCTTTGAGGTTATGTTCCAGGCTTCGATGGACACTCACTGTCAGCACACAGGAGGCTTGCAGCTCTCCCTTTTCCCACACCCCTTTGAAATCCCTTTAGAAGCAGCTAATCGCCCCCAGTTGCCACTTCCCTGTCAAACAATGAGGCACTACGATGTTGGGATAATCTCTCAATCCTAACACCCACCATTAACAGTGAATCTTGGAAGTGTATTTAAACAAAACATCATTCAGAACAAAAAAAAAACCTTCAAGACTATTAAAAAAAAAAAAATGAAATAATGAAAGGTTGATAAGAAACCTGTAGCTAAAGAGCTGACTTAACTCCTGATCTAATCTATTTTTTTTCAGAACAGTGAATGAAAAAAATATGGAAAACTCCCAGCCAAAGTCAAGGTATTTAAATTTTTCCAAAGAACCCTTTATTTAGTGATTTTTCTATGTATGGCATCTTCAACAGTGTGTCTGTGGTTATTCTGTACATATACAACGTTCAATTCATTTTAAAGTCAAAATTAAACTCTAGATTTGTTTTCCAGAACAAGACATCAACACACCCCTTATAACATTTTTGCATGACTCCCCCTTTACAAACTGCATGATCATAGACATGTTCAACTTTTGTAGGTTTGGAAGGTAGGTTTAGGTTTTGTAGGTAGGTGTAGGTTTTGTATATTTGAAATAATGCAAAAAGAGAGAAATATTAATATTTGCACTACCTCTGCAGTCCTCCGGCACTACTACAGATGGGAGGACAGGTGATCATCATCTTACATTGGTACCTGCACAGCTTTGGCGAAAGTGTTTTTTGTTGGGTTTTTTTTTTGGTTCCATGCAAGTATGGAAGCTGTTCAGATGAGCCACAACCATTGCTCAACTCTCCTCCTCAAGGGAATGCATTAAAAAAGGAAGAAGAAATTAAAAAACTCAGGTCTACAGTGAAGTCTCCAGGGGGAAAGCCCATCGCGTCCTGCACCCAGCTGAGTGTGCAGGCCTGGGAAGGATGGTGCTCCACAAAGAGGACTGCCAAAACCACTCACACCAGATACGCCACATCTGGTCTGTTTTCATTGCTCAGTGTCTGGACATCCCAACCAAGCACAAACTGTGCTAACATCTTTGTTTTTCCTCTTGTTTATCCTTTAACTTGCAGCTGCAGAGAAGCCTCCCCTTCCCATCGCAGAAGCCCCACTGGGCCCCAACTGCAGAACAGCACGTAAAACAAATCCAGCTCCTCCACCCACCGAGCTGCAATGTCACAAGCTTCAAGCAGAAGGCTCCAGCATCTATCCTGGCAGCACAGGAATGGCATCAACTGCTTTGATGGACAATGGGTTGGACAGAGTGGCTGAGCTGGAATCCCCACCTCCACCCTTCCCAAAAAAGGATAATCCCTGTATTCATCTGACCATTTAATATTTTACATTTGCCGAGGCTTTATCCAACAGGAAATTAAAGCATTGTGTTGCTGGCTTAAAAGAGCTTTTCAGTGTTTTAGAAAATTTTGCTCCTTTAAGTATTGAGGTTATCCCTACTTTGGAAAAAGGTAGGTAGGGCTTTGAGACGCTACACTCATACACTCTCAAAACCAACCCAAGGAGCTTTAATTGATATTCAGCATAAAGACAGAAGAGCTTAAATGATATACCACAGCAGTTTGCACTGAGTGGGATTTATTTTGCACCAGAGTAGAAGGTAGGTGTTCCCACTGAAGCCCATCAACCTCCATCTGCAGACAGACAGCCAACTTCACTGGTTTTCCCAAAACACATCCAGCACTGCTGCATGGACATCCAAGAGTGCCATTTTCAGTCCCAAGTCTTCTCATCTCCAGAATTTTTCCTCCCTTCTCCGAGTTCATAAAGGGGACAGACGAGCTTGGAACTATTTTGCAAGGTGTGGAGTGAAGAAGATGCCAAGGGCAAGAAGCCTATCTGAGCTGCACTGCTCCAGGAGAACAAGCTTGTCATTTGTCCTCCCCTCAGACTCTCCTTTTCCTGGTGGAGCTGCTAAAATCAAATGTAAAACAAGCACCATTGTAAATTGCAGATAATCACTTCCTACTGATAGCAATGAAAAATCCCTGAGTATATGTTCAGCAGATTTTTTTTAACCTTGTCTTCAGTGATGTTACCACAGAGATCTGGAGCCCACTGGGCATTCCCATTCTCCCTTCATTATATCTTCCATTAATAAAACCAATTAATGATTCAATTAATCCCACCTGCCAATGGAGACTCATCCAGTAATGTATGGCTGAGTGTTTTGCCCAGTGTAGCCAAGAATTAACGCAGATCAGTGGAAGTGAATGTGTCAAACACCTTCCTCCATCAGACGATCCTCCACACATCCATGGAGCATTCTATTTGCTGTGCTACAGAATAACCTAACATTGCTGCAGCCTTTTGAAACGCCTCTGAAACCACCTAACCAGCTTCATTAGTACTGGCTTCAGGAGCTGTGTCATCTGCAAATATTACCTCTTCACCTTTTAAAGAGATTAAAAACCACAGATGCCAACAGAGGTTCTTGAGAAATCCCACTGCTAACCTCTGATGAAAACTGACTGCATTTTTTTTAAACCCCTCGCCACAAGGAAATCTTGAAGAGTAAAAACCTGCTAAAGCCTCCCCCATACTCTAGCAAATACTCTTTTTTTCATGCCAGGAATGTACCGATAGCTTATTCCTCTACCCCCAGCCCAACGCGGCCACAGAGCTTCTTCCCTCCCTGCCAGTCACCAGCACATCCTCTCAGCTGCACATCAGGAATACTAATAGCTTCTTGTTTTTTCTTTAATTTTAAAAGACCATACAACATCTGGAACAACAACTGCAGGCTTCAAGCCTCCCAGACGTTGCAATGCTGGGGCCCCTGCCCTTTAGAGCCAGCACACACCCCCAGCCCAGGGGACAGGTTTACTCCAGCAAAGATAAAAGGCGACCCGTGCCTCTATCCTCCTTCCTCCCCTGGCCAGAGATTTGCTCTCAAATGTACAAACCAAGGCAGATCTGGCATTTGTTTATGTATATTTACACAGTCTGTTTACAGAAGTCACTGGAATTAATAAAAGAAATCATTTAATCTGACCACAGGGGGTGCGGGAAGGGGAGAAAACACTGTAAAATTAGAAATAAGAACCATCTGTTCCTCCTGACAGCCCCTGTCCACCCTTCCAGCTTGGGTGAATTCTCCGGAGTGGGCTTCAGCAGGGCAAAGAGTTGTCTTCTGCCATCACCCTGATCTTCACACGCTTCCAGAAAATAACAGCTTACTGTAACCCTATCTGCAGGGGTAAATGTTAAAAACACGCAGAAGCATCCAACTGTCTGGATGGAGCCCTGCTCTGGATGGAGCCAGGCAGCTGCCAGTGGTGCCCAGGGCCAAGCCCAGAGGCAGGGCTCAGCCCGCAGCCCCTCAGGCAGCATCTCGGGGCCTGGCACAGGCTGCCCACAGAGGCTGGGGGGCTCCTCCCTGAGGGGCTTCCAGAGCCACCTGGACGTGGGGCTGGGCACCAGCTGGGGGGCCCTGCTGGGGCAGGCCTGGGGTCTCCCCTCCCAAAACAGCTGAGAGTAACCAAGATGTAAAGTGTTGCCACAAAGAACAACCAGACCTGAAGCTGGAAGCATAATAGCTATCTATTCACCACACCAGTAAAGTCAGTGATACATGCAGTTACAGCCTACAGCTCACCAGTGGTGTGCGAGCAGCACCACCACAGAAGCAAGGAAACATGGCAGAACACCGAACCCCTCCAGATTTACTGTGTTGAAGTCCCATTCAATGGAAAACCTACAGGTTATTTTAGTATTGCTGCAGCACGCGTTCCTATGCTTTAAAAAAAGCATATTCAAAACTCCAGCTAGAGAAACCTCAGTTATGTGTTATAAGTTTTCTTGTTTTTCAATATCTTGACATCCTGAACTATCAGATTAAAACAAATACACCTAGTAGTACTCAGATGTTGATCACAACTGAAACCTGTAGCTATGAGGTCACTAAGGAACAAGACCAAAAAAAAAGACACCAATTTATATAATCCCCCCACCCCAGACACACATGTAGCCCCCTCCAGACTGCTCCTGAGACACACTTGCATTACAATTTCTGCTTTACAAAAAAAAAAAACAAAAAAAAAAAAACACAGATTAAGAGATCAGCTTGCAATTGACAGTAGCAAAAACTTGTCCTGGTGAGAGATGACAAGGAAAGGGCTTCACATCTGCCCTAAGACAAAACTTCATTTGGGATTTTTTTCCTTCCTACTTCCTTTAAATTTCAAGCAAAATGTTTGCCAATTACCTACTCGGATGAGCACTTCTCATTTCTTAATGGGGCTTTGTCACTTCATCAACTGAAAGAAAGTATGAAGTTCCACAAATCAGGAAATTCTAGATGTAGGGAAGCATCAAGTCCACAGACTTTAAACGCAAGGATGTCCCATAAGAGGAACAGAGACAAGGAGACATCCCTTGATCCTACCCTGCACACTTGGTATAACCACTGAGTGCGATGTTCCCATGTTGTCAGATACAGAAAATGGGTGAGCCAGTAGAGAGCTCACTTATTTAGCTTATCCTTTTTCCAGTTTTCCAGTTAATTATGGACAGAGATGCATCCTCACTTGGGCTGTTTTTCTTCATAGCACAGATTTGTCCAAGTCTGATTTTTTTTTTTTTTTTTACACAAATTATCCCACATGAACAGGACTATTGCTGAACTCCACAGATGGAAACAGATGCTGCTGTCCTCCATGCTGGCTCCACATCTCTCAGATAAATTCTGCACCTGCAGTAAAATAAATTCTGCATCGTGTGAAGCAGACATGGCAGAGGCGAGAGCAGCACTGAGGAACCACAGACCTCGCAGGAAATGGATGCAGGGAGGTCTGTGGCCCTGCCTGCAAGCAGCATTGACACTTCTGTAGCAAACTTACTAAGAAATCAAAAAGCCTTTTCTTCAGGAAGGAACCAAGCCAGAAAAAAAACGTTGCATGCAACAGAGTTGGATGTTCTAAAATAGGTATATTTTCAAAAGTTTTGAAGAATTAAAACACTATAAACATTGGTCTTGTACTTCTGTCTGGTGCAGGCAGAGAAATATGTTTATAGTGTTTTAATGTTCCATACCAGCACCAGAGGACAGGCAGAAACAAAATGGCCTTGGCATTTTTCAGGAGCAACGCTGTAAGGAGTTACCGATGTGGAGATCACTTGGCATGCAGCTGACCAGCCAGCACACCAGTGGCATCACCCCATGAGCAGGCTGGGTAGAGATACAAAATATTTCACATTCAAGAAAAATCACTTGGCATCTTCCCTACTAGTAGTTCTCTCTAGATCAGGAACCTGAAACTCTGTTCCTAGGCTCCAGGCCTGTGCTAAAATAAACAGAAACCAGGCTACAGTGTCCAGACCAACTTCTTTCCCTAAAGCATGAAAGCCAGAAGTGTTCCTAGTGATATATTACTTTAAGCAAAAATGTGTATTTTGGCGAAACTTCACTTAGTTGATAGTACTCCGGCCTGCTCTTTGGCCAGTAAAAAAGGAAGCATCCAGCTGAGAGCCCACAGCTATCTCTACTCTCTGGAAAAAAAAAAAATCAGTTTTGGAGCAAACAGTTCTGCAAATGAAACTGCATGCGCTATTTTCAGTGGAAAATGAAGTTTTCCTTTAAAGAGTACACACCTGCAGCATGCCTGAGGTTTGAAAGTCTGCCCAGGTGCAGTAGCTCCAGATAGAAGCCCTCAAGCAGAGCAGCACTCATGGGTGGCTCTGGTGAAGCTGCAGGATGGAGTCCCCGTAACAGAGATTTGGGCATCTCTGTCCTAGAACAAAGCTCTCTGTCGTGCCCAGCTCTGCCAACAAATCATGAACTTCTCTTCACCAAAACCCTGAGTGGATCAGAAGGTAAAACACCATCTGGATGTCAGGTCACTAGACAGTCCTGAGGGCATCCCTAGAGCTAGAACACAAACTCAGGAACCGCCAGTTTCCTCCTTTGATTCACAACCAGTTCATCCCATCAGTTTAATCTTCTACTTCTCTATCATGCCATTAAGCCTCTCAATGGCACAGAAAGGTAATGAATCTGTAGGTCAATTCCTGAAATACACGTATCAAAGCTTTTTTTTTTTTTTTTTAATGTAACTGCGCTCGAAGAGTGGTTTATAGACTACTGCTTACATTCTCCTCACTCTCATGCAACCTCCAGCTGTATCACAGCAGAGAGGTTTGTCTCAATTATCAATTACTACTTACTCCTATCACTGTTTGATAATTCAGCACAGAGTTTGGAAACATCTGAATTCATCTCCAAGGTAAGATGCCTCAATCAGAAAAACAGGATGACCACCAGCTTCTGGCAATTCCTAGCTCTGCAAGCCCTCATATTTCAAGGGGCTGTGCTGCACTCAGGATATAAATCATTGGAAAAAAAATAGAAAAAGCAACTAAATACCATTTTCATTTCTCTAATGGACTCCCGTTCCAGAAAGGAAAAAAAAAAAAAAGTTTGCCAGGGCTGTATTTTTACATGTTCAAAGACAAGGGGAGGTTTCTCTCTGCCACTTACAAATTGATGTGATCATTTCCAAAACCAGGAGAGCAATCAAAAACTGCATGGAAAGCAACACGCAAGAACCCTGAGATACATGCAAAAGCACTTCATTCATAAAGAGCAGGATGAACATCTGAAAGCCAGGATGCACAAACAGGAAAGCCGCAGTCCCTGAAAACAATAGGATCAGCCAGGTCACCTTTCTGGGTTTTGCCACCAATTGTTTGCCTGTACTTTTGCAGAGACTGGAGAAGTTTAACATGTATGTGCCTAAGAGTGCTTTGTTTGGCTGGGGGTCCCAGCTCCACCACTGAAGGACACCTTGGGAAAGTCTTACATGAGGTATCCGTTTAATAATTGGAGAAAAGAACTAAAAACTGGAAGTCAACACACAATCTACAGAACTAGTGGGTGACACCCATCACTGGTGAGCAAGAGAGGAAGGCATGATGAGCAGCTTGAGGTTTCCTACTACCAATTCTACAACAGAAGCCACATCCCCTTATGTGGCCATCCAGCTCTGGAGGACGCATGCAAGTGCAAGCAGTCAGGTGAAGACCACTCATCTCTGGTTCTGCCTTTTTTTCTTAAAAAAGTTTGATTAGCTACAATACCATAGGAAAAAAAATCTGAAATCTTTTTTTTTTTTTTTTCTTTCCAACCACACAAAATAATTACGTGCAAAATGCTGGGGGAAAACATTGAAAAAGCTTGGCTATAACCAACTGACAGAGTTTCATCTTTTTTTTAAAAAAAAAAAAAAAAGAAAAGTCATACCCAGTGCAGTTGTGCCTCTGCTGCACACCAAAAGCAAAGAATGGTTGTGAAAAGATTCCCAAGCTGGTATAAAGCTGCAAGCAGGAAGCAGATCTGAAACAAGGGAGTTTGGCGGGGAAAAAAGAAAAAAGAAAAAAAAAAAAACACAAAGAGGAAATGGAGTCTTGTACACAAGAGGCAATGCAAACATGAAACTGAATACCAAGTTGTTGCTAAAGTTCAACCACTTCAAGTCTCAATTTATTCCACAGAAGTGGAAAAGGCCATGAAAAAATACTTAAAAAGTAAAAACGAAGTAACTGGGAAAAAAAAAAAAAAAATAAGAACCTTTTATCCCCCCTGTAGCTAAGTATCTGAAGCTTTCTACACCAACCAGGCATGAAAAATTCCCTGAGAATAAGCCAGCTGCCAGCTATATTCCCAAATTTAGCACAGAAATTCTGTGACCTATGACAGTGAACATTTTGGAAGTTATTTCTCCACAAGGAGAAATAGAAACTTTTTAAAAAAGTCTTACAGAAGCATGATATTCACTTGAACTCCAAAAAAAGAAACAGTGTTTTCTCACCAAAAAAAATCTAGTCTCGGTTAGCCTCCAGAAACGTTAAAATAATTCACCAGCATTTGCAATTAATTGTTGAAGATAGAAAGTAAGCATGTGCGCTCCATCCAAACATAAACCCACTTTGGCTACGCACCTCGTGAAGTCAGGATGGGGGCGATCCCACCAGGCTGCTGTGCCGTCATGGACCTGCTGTGTCCAAGAAAATAAAGAACTTCCCCACATTTGGAATAAAGCACCAGTAATTGACATTGACCCAGTCACTCATTTTTATAAGGTCATTTTTTTTTTTTACACACGCTTCTTTAGGATCTCTTTGTTACTACAATCATCCACTGAATAGGGTGCTACTGAGCCATATGGAAAAGAGCATCCTAGTCCTAACACGTAATGCAGAGTTTGGGTAAGGAAGCAAAATTAACTGTTCCTTGTCAACACATCCATTCTGCTGGACTGTGTCTTGAAAGTCAGTGGATCCTATTAAATCAGACTGAACATAGAGGGAATCTTAACAATAGAGGCGAGGGGTATAAAACCCCGTGCAATGCAAAGAAAGAAAGGAGCAATTGCTACGCTGCAAAAACCTGAATGTCAGCAAAAAGCCTCCCTTATTCCCACAACTATACGTTCAGACTGGATTTTCTTTGACCATTTTAGGCAAGCTAAAAAAAAAAAAGCAGCTTTTTACATCTCCCTTACATTTGCCGTGTGTCCTAACTTCTCGCAGAAGTGTGGTTCCACACGAGTTACAGATGACTTTCACAGCTGTGGAGGAGACAGCTGGGTACAGAATAATATCTGGCAAGTGCTGTGCAGGCTTGAGATAAGCCTATATATCTGCTG